AAATTAGGCACACTTCCCTCAAAATGAACAATGCAGTAATTCACTTGCAAATCTAAAGAGACGTCAATTACCTTGAGTCCAGTTCACTGTGATTTTTTTTTTTTTTAGCATGAACATGGTTGGGGTTTTTTTAGCTCCCGAGACAGGCATCAGACCTCGGAAACTAAGGTGCTGCCTCCGCTCCCTGCGAGGAGCCGGGGGGAGCTGCAGCCCAGCACCTGCCCCAGCCTCCACTGGCTTTGGAAGGGGAAGATTTCCATCCTGTTTTACTGTGGCAGAATAGTTCTCTGCCCTGTTGGTCTGCAGTTGAGGAGACAGCAAGACGCCTGTTCACACAAGCCGTCTTGTGGCTTTTAAATTGCTTTGCCACTTGTTTCTACACTTCTCTAAGCACACACAACCAGAAAAAAACAAGAGACTGCTTTGCAACAAGAATTTATCTGGGTGATTCCTGGGGAGAATACAGGCATGGCCAATGGCGAGGCCTCGCTCCAACACCCGTCACCGTGGGGTACGCAGCCAGCCCCAGCTCCTGGCAGAGAGCGGAATTCCACCCTTCCTGCTCCTTCCTGCGGCAATAAAGGACAAACTGATTATATCAGGAATCATAAGTCCCTCACAGCTATTTTCTCTCTCTACCATACAAGCAGCAAGTAGGACTGGTAGAGGATGTCTGAATTCCTAAGCAAAGTCCACGCCTTGAACGGAGCAAATATTCCTCTGTAGGACTGAGGCCCAACATCCGCCGCCACAGCGTGTGTCCCCCCAACGCTTCTGCCATGTCTGAGCAGCACGTGCAGCGGGTTGGGCGACAGCGGCACCCTGCTCTGCAGCCTTCAGAGGACTTGGCCCTTCGCCTTCCGCCGGCCCTGGGAAGCTGCGCTGTGTCTCACAGTTTGTAAGCAGATTATTTACTCAGCGTTTGACTCTGGTTGCGGTGGGGAAACTGGCCAACCAGCAGGACCCACAGCGTGACCGGAGACCACGGCCGTGCTGCTCCCGAGCATCCCGGCTCGGCTGTCCCGACGGCACCCGGGGAGGGACATCACCGGGGGAGGACACCACCCAGACATCAGCCTACGCTAAATACGCAACAGAAAATAACCCCCGGAACTGGGAGGTGTGCGGGTACCATAGAGACAAGCACAGTTTGAGGGCACAGACGAGAAAACAGCCACGCTTACAGGCTTCAATTACCTTCCAACTAAGATGACTACAACAGTTCCTAGGAGGCAAGGGATCCTTCGAAGAGAATCAAACCACAACAGCCAGCTGCCCAGCCATGAACCGTGGCTGATGCCCCCGGCGCAGGGTCCCGCTCCACGCGCGGAGCACCCCCCCTCGCCGTGTGGCTGCGGAGGGACGGGGCGCTCGTCCCCTCGCTCTCGGCCGAGGCCGCAGGGCTCTGCTCTCCCAAAGCCGATGGCATTTTCTTCCCACCACCTTTCTTTCCTACGTCACTTCGCACCTCTCTGAAACTTCCTGGCATTTTCACTCCTGTTTTGCAGGAGGAAAGTGCAGATCGAGGGGCGAGGCGGCTGCCGCTGGTCACGGGCTGTGCCGCGGGGGACAGGAGCCCACCCCGCTGCCGTGACCCACAGGGACAACTCCCTCAGCCAAGAGCCGGGCACAGCGGCGGACACCGCCCCAAGCTGAATCACCATTTAAAAGGATTTAACTTCCAGCTGCGTTCAGCCTAATTTCCTTTGTGCAACAGTGTGTTTAATTGCAGAGATTCTAATTTACTGTTGCAGAGCACAAGCCCAGCTCTAAAGATAAATTAAAATGACAGCTCCATGGGAAGTTCAGAATTCAACTTTCCGACTTATCTGATTTGATGCAGATACAAATATTTAAATCCAGCCAAGGAAACAAACAGCCTGTTTCTAAGAAGTTCCAGCTGGAACGAGGAAAAAGGATTTTGCCGGAAGACAGGCTGCAACAATTAGTGCACTGTCATGCTCCTTGCGGGCACAGATCATCGGCTCAGCAGAGCTTCAGGGCCGGCGCGCTGCACTCCTCCTCTGCCAGGCTCATTTGGGCTTGGCTTTTCGGTGTTTTATTTCCCTTCAGTGAAAAACTACTTCACTATATCAAGAATAAGAGGTTTTACTTTTAAATCATCTTTGTACAATTCCCCTGTTCTCTTTTCAGGGGGGAGAGGCAAGCACCAAGCCTGTCGAGTGAAACACACTGAGTCTGGCGAGGGATTTGCTGCCAAAAGGGCAACAATTCCTTTGTTTTTTCTTGTAATCATGACCAACTCCGTGCTCCTGCCTGCAGATGAGGCTGGGATTCACCTCGCCCTGCCTGAGCTGGCAGGAGGGGTCCCAGCCCTGTCTGTACCCCTGGGGAGAGGCACGCATCGTCTGCCGGCAGTCCGTCCCGTCCCACGCTGACACACGTTATTTTTGGTGAGACACGTCGAAGCTAAATTCAAACCGAATCTTAAAAACATTTTTTTTTAAAAAAGATCCATTTCTAATTTTGAACTCCAAAAATTCAAATCTGATTTCTAACAATCTGCTATTTTTCAGGCAAATAAACAAAGCGCTCAGATTTTTAGCACAACCGCATCCTGTGATGCAAGCGCAGAGCCGGGGGAAGCTGCTGCCAAGGGAACCACTCTGCTGGGGGATCCTGCCGCCGCCCAGCCCCGCGGGACGAGGGGACGGCC